ATCATACTGCCATGGCCTCCCCAACAAGAAATGTCTAGCATGCGTAGGAACCACGTCATACATCACCTCATCTCTATACTTCCCAATTGCAAAGCTCACCAACACTTGACTATTAACCCTAATCTCTCCACATTCATTCAACCACTGCAACCTATAAGGTTTCGGATGTTTTAGCATAGTCAAGCCCAATTTTTTTTCCGAGGGTAGTACTAGCAACATTGGTAAAACTTCCCCATCAATAATCATACTACATACCTTATTGATATGACACCTAGTATGAAAGATGTTCTCCCTTTGCTGTTCCATGTCATCCACCTTGATTTGTGTACTAAGAGCACGCCTCTTAACAAGTGTTTCACTATCACTGGGTACCCTACTCCAACACCATCACTAGCATCCTTCAATTCGGGCATCTCATCACTATCACTATGACTCACCACTTATCCATTATCACGTAAGATCATTGCCCTTTTGTTTGGGCATTGAGAAGCAATCTGCCTTGAACCCAAGCACCTAAAAACTTGATATCTTTTCCTACGAGGTTGGGAATCCGCCCTGGGTTTTATTTTGCTAGCTACTTCCTATTTTCCCCTTGGTGATTCGGTCTTAACCTTTGAAACAGCCCCATCACTTCTATTACTATCCCACTTCAGTTTCCAAGAAGGATTGGAACCCGAAGAACCAGAACAATAATTAGCTGCTCATTTTCTTTTTAATTGCCTTTCCACCTTCATAGTCACATGTAACATGTCCTCCAACTTTACATAATGTTGTAATTCCATTACAATGGCTTAGAATTTTCTTTTCCTTTTTGCTGTAATTGTTTTCTAGAATTTTCGTGTTTTTTTACACTAAATATGCGGAAAATCAACAAAGGCAAGAAAGATCGAAAAAAAAAATGTATTGGTGCACTAAATTTAATGCACAAAACAATTCTTGAATGTTCTTGGTATTTGTGTTGTTGTAAAAGACTTAAGAAGATTATGAAGACTCGAGAAAATGATGGAAACTTGACGAAGAAGATGAAGACTCAACGAAGATGTGAATTAGAAAAAAGATGCGGAGATATAACCTTGATTTTAGAGCAAAGCTCTAATACCAACTAATATGAACCCACGTAGCAATAGTAGCTCTGAAATCACCACAAGATTGAATCACCACCATAAGAAAGCTAAAATCTCGGTTTGAAGTTTGACCTAATAATTTATTGAATCAAAGAACCAAAGTTTTAAAGGAACTTGACCTCTTAATCACAAAAATTATGAACTTTGCTACGAAGTTGTTGAACGTCACAAAGATGAAATCCTTGATAAGTTCGAAATTGAGTTCAATAAAGAACAAAAAGAAAGCATCCTTGCTGTGATTTAATCAAGATGGAGATATCAAACAAATCGAGTTCTAGACGAAAAAGGAAAATTTAAACTGCTTTCAGATTTTTGTACTGCACGTGCGCACTGTGTGTTCTCTTGCGCATTGAAATTTTTTCCTCCATGCGCGCGCGACCTATTTTACCGACACGCGTGCGCCGCTTTTCTGCCATATTCCAGGTTGCGCTTCTTCTAACTTAGCTTGAATGAAGTGGACTAATCTTGGTTCCTCTTCCATGCCCAACATGAAATTTGATGTTTTGCTCGTTACAATCGAAGTCTTTGCCCATGTAGCTTAAACAAGTAATCCCATGGTTTCTTTGATCTTTTTTACTCGTGATCTCATCATTGGGCCTTCTTCTACAATCAACAACAGATCATTGCTAGCCTTCGCCCATGGTTCTCATGAGGACTCGAGGACATAATGCACATGATTTGATCCTAGTAGAACATGTTAGAAAGGCAGACAAAAACCAGAATTATCATGACCTGATATAGGTCCAAAATATTTGTTTCATTAGATCGCTGAGAACATGTTGCGATGGATTGATTGAGTGGCCAAAAAGGCTTTATGCAGCCGAGCAAATTTGTTAGGATAGCAATTAGTTTGATGCTACTGTAGCTGTCTAAAAGTAGACCAAAAAGAAGAAAAAGAAAGAGTAAAGCCAGAGTTCTTGAAAAATATGAGCTTTTAGAGGGGCAGAAAACGAAGAAATTGACCATAATGCAGAGATAGAACCGAAGCCAAATCAGCAGAAGCAGATAAAGCTACAGCTAAAGCTTTTGCAGGCATCATGCTATCTGAATTATTTTTGGTTATTTATATTTTGAAATCTGGGATAACTTGTCAAAAGTAAATAGCTTTTTTGTGAAAATATCATCTAACTATCATTTTTGGTTATATTTTGAAATATTGGAGTTATTCTTTTTTCGTTTTATTTTTAAAATAAAATTCATCCTTAAGTTTTTAAGATAATTAATGGTGGGTTTTTCTTTTATACACACCATATTGGAACTTGTAGGAGCCTCTTCTTCTGTAAATATATAATAATGAAATTTACAACTCCTAGAAATGCTCTCTCAAGCATGCTTCCAGTACTGTCCTTAGTGTAACTTCTTTGCCAGCCAACTCCTAATCTACCTATTAGTTCAAACAGTCACCTGACTGAGAAGATAGTAGCAAGAAGTAAAACTCAAAGGTTATATTTGTCTTTGCATGGTCATATTGATTCATTTACTCATAGTTCCACTTTATGACCTTAAAGGTTCCATATCTGTACTCTCCTTTAAGAGACTCTTAGGCAATGACATGGACTGGACATACTGCATACCATTCTGCTTTGATGGCATGCTGAACTAAGTAAGCTTTGTCTGGTAAAGGACTTCATCTCATTAAGGAAGATATCTGATGCGACTGTAAATGGTAATTGAAAAGACTTGCTTTGGCATTTCTTTATGTCATAAAATGAAAACTTAATCACAATTGATAGTTCCCTTTGTTGAATTTATCAATCTTGTTTCTGAGGCTAATATCCGGACCGCCCTGGCATTTTCTGTACAATGTCTCAAGATATGAACTGGCATGATCCATGGAATGTAACTATTTTGCTAGTAGGAAGATTCTCCCGTCAAAAAGGTCTACGTCTACTACTAACACCATTTAATTTGGATGCTTTGTTATCTGTATCTAATATATTGTAAACTTAGAAAATCTTGTTGATGTTTGTACCTATATTACTTCATATCATGTGCCAAGTGGCAAAGGTTGTTCATTGTAATAGGTTTATTGTGGGTTGCACATGAAGCTTAGACCTACTTTAGCGAATTACATAGATTACGTAGCGAACATGGTCTTTATTCATATTATTGATATTCCACCCAAGCAATGTTGTAAATAACAATACATTATTTTTATTAACCTCGAAATCTGGCGACGAATAGATCCCAGCTCCTCTACCATCCACGTATATGTTACCTATACACTTGGTCACCACGTTAGATTACTTGTGAGCATAGCTTGACGGAGTGCGATGTCGCGGGCACTTCGACGCTCAAGTCGAACAGTGAAGAAGATATTTGGGTGTGGAAGAGACACAATGGATAAGAATATGGTTGCCGGGTTGAAGAGTATCAAATTTTTGCATTAGAAGAATGGCATTCAAAGTTTTGTTACCTTTGCAGATAATAATTGTGAGCTTTATATCAAGAGAGAAGATGTGTAGTCCATTGATACTTAGCACGTAACCTCATCCCAACGGCTCACTAGCCAAGCTCAAATGTGTTGATTCCGACCGTCATTTGTATTTGACCGTCAACCATAGACTAAAAAGCAGCTACCCTAGGTCGTAGGCTTGCAAATTGAAAAGTTGATTCAGCAAATATGCTTCAGGTCAAATATGTCAGATGTACGGAGTATCTCAAGCATACGAAATATTTTGGCCGAGGTGATACTTGTGGAAGATGCTCATCACAGAAAGATGCCAATCGCCTCAGAAATGCAATGCAACAGGAGGTGGTGCCTCATCTAGGAAGCAATCACTTCGGATGAAGCATCTAAGGGTTTTCCCCAATCGTCTCGGTGGGCACATGTGAAGGGGCAAGTCATAGTGAAGCGTTGATCTTGCGTAGCCTCTTGCTTTGTTTTTAACTTAGCTAGTTGCCATGCCTGCATTGTTGATCGAGGTGCAACAATTTTTCAAACTGAAGTGAAGCTCTAAAGAAGAATCATGGAACTCATTTGCTAAATAGTGTTTCTATTAGCCTTTGTCATAACAATATTGTGACTACCATTTTCTTGTGGCGTTAAGAAGGCCCAAGCTTATACTCATTGGTCCACAAGGTGCCCATCTTCAAGAAGGCTGGTGAAGTAATCCTCAAAATCATGCAAGAAAACAGATTAAGACATTCCCTGTGGTGGGAGCGATTTGAGAAGAACGATTAATGAGATCGATGGATTTTTCTTCTATTATTCCTCTCGCTAAGATGACGGTATTGAAATAAGGTCTCAGCCACTTTCACTCCATTCAATTACTGTTTTTGAATAATGATGCTTCGTTCCAAGGAGACATTTGTGTTAGGTCGGCCCAGGGATCACTAATTAGTCGAATGACCCCCATGTCTTGAAAGATAAGACTCTAGTTCTAGTTTTACTTTTTCAAACAGTTGAAGATTGAATTAAAAGATGGGAAATAAGTTGTGTAATATTCACGTGCCTTCTGCCTCTCCAATTAATACTGAGAACTACTTTCAATTTCTTTAGTATCAAAGTTGCAAGGTATAGCTACTAGTTATATGTTTAGGACTTCGAGAAGGTTCTAGAGATGACTACTTACCTTACTTTTATAAATTGATTACTACAAGTTATGCGCTCGAGGTAGAACATAAATTTCTCTAGGAATTGACAACATTTTAGGTTGTCCAGATAGTATTGTAAAGGCTGATTCTGATTATTTCAGGTAGATGATCTATTTTTTCAGATTAGATAATCTGTGTCTTTCAGACATTGTCTGCCATTCAAGTGGTTTGGCCGAGTTTCTTTTTAAGGGTTCCCCTTTCAGTTACAACTTTGCATTATTTTCATTTTTTCGGTTCTTTTTCGCCAATCTATTCTTACATGGTTGCAATCTGATACAGATCCGAAGTTCTGAGTGTTGTTATTCGCCCATCTAATCAACTCAAGATTACCTTCTTAGAGGTTTGTGAAATACAATTATTTACTTTATCTATCAAAATTTGAAACATAATCTAGAACTTTTTTGCTTCTCGAATTATTTTATTGAATATTTTGCTTATGTTGTTTGAGTGTAATTCAAGTAAATTGAGTTATTCTTAAAATTTAAAATGTTTTCTCATGGCTGACTAATTTGTTGAGAATTGAGGTTGAGGTTGACGTACTTAGTTATCATATTTCCTTTCAAAACCTAGTGCACACTTATTATTCGTATTGCTTTTCTGATAAAGATGCACTGCCCTGAATTGTAGGGCTCCGTGTGTCATCTAATTCTATAGAGAATTTTGTTTTCCCAGTTTCTTTATGAAATAAACTTATTGACATGGATTTAAATTCTCATGGTCACTAGGCATTGGTTGTTTCTAGAACCTTGCTTCTTTAGGTTAAAAACACGTGACACAATTTTCTCTTCAGACGTAAAAGAATGGAAAAGGAACACATTTTGGTGCAATTTTGTGACATTCTATGGGTGGTCTTTTAAGTGAATTTCAAGGATAGAGTTAAAAGAAAAGAAAATGGAATTATATCCGCATATAGCCACTATTTGACAACCATTATTTTAGAACTCTTTATGTTAAGAAAATGGAATTATATACGCATATAGCTCCTATTTGACAACCATTATTTTAGAACTCTTTAGTTCTCATACTCATTTTCAACCACGTATTTACAGAATAAAATATTTTGCATGTAAACTTGAAATTTTTCCGTATTTTTTAACCACATATTCTCCAAAAAATTACTATTTAAAAATCTATTTTCTCAAAATAATGGTCATCAAACTGGGAATAGTAAAATGAAGTGGATAATGTGGCCAAATACATCCGAGAAGATATACACATATAGTAACATGACATGGATAAGGTGGCTAAGACACCCAAAACCTAGCAAATGATAAACCAGGAGAGTATTCGCTCATGACATAGTTATTGATGAGACTAGGACTAGGAGAAACCATTTGTTAAAACTTTCAATGAGTAATTTGAAATCCAAAGGTTTTCAGTACAACTAAGACAGAACACATAAGATGTCCCATTAGTCATGGTAAGATTAAGATGTCCCATTAGTCATGGTAA